CCAACTGATAATCCAAGTTCTAAGGCTATTTTCTGGACACTAAGTCTCCTGTCAGCAGGAACAGTGTTCCGACCATGCTCATGTTTTCACTACGTTGTCATCATTAACACTATGACTTCCTTATCGAAAACGCTAGTGCCACTCAGAAACTTGCGACTTGTTCATTGCGATATCACAGTATATTTTATTAAGCTAACTCATTGTCTGTGATGGTAACATTTTACATTTGTGACTGCTGAGGTAAGAACATTTTCAGCTTTCACGATGCTTCATGCACAAAACACATACACACTTTTTTTTAAAGAATAAATATAAAGATCACGTCTGCCATGTCGTGTTGTCAAGGTTACCATTAACTTATACGACTACAGTCTTTATGTCAAAATAACCAGTTCAATCAGTAGTCGACTATTCCAGGAACTGTTTAACGGAACCCTGTAAATTTGTTAAGTGTTCCCTCCCCATACTGTTACAGTATATTTTCATATATGGCATTGCATTTCAAACCGCAGAAATCAAGAAGTCTGTCAATCCTCAAAGGTAAGGTGGCGGCAACCAGTTTCACGATGGCAAAGAAACGGACACCCACGGTTCTGGGGGAAAAGGCGAAGAGTCTCGGCCGCGTTTACGATTCTAAGTTATCTGATAAAGCGGAAGACGGTGCATACATGAGTCACAGGCTATAGGCCTGCTTACCATCCAGGCTGATCGGGAAGTACAAGGTGTGGTGCCTCCAGTTCATATTGATTCCAAAGCTCCTATGGTGGCTGCTCGGTTACGAAATGAGCATGACTGCAGTGGAAACGATGAAGGAAAAAAATCAACACAGCCATGAGGAAATAGATTGGGGCACGGCCTTGTCTGACCGATGTGGCCTTGTAATATTAGCAGGTTAAGCTGGTACTTTCATTTAAGTCAATAACCGAAGAGTTTAAAGTCACCAAGGTAGGACTTACGATGATGCTGCGCGAGTTTTTAGACCCCACGGTGGCGGCTGTCAAACCCGCTCTAAAGACAGGTCAGAAATGGAAAGTCTTAGATAAGACTAAATCTGACCAAGATGCACTGAAATTGAAGGAAGTCGTGGGTTACACACAAACCGACCGACGCGGCCTAGGACATGAGAAAGTCAGCTGGTGGTCAAAGAACGCAGAGACGTGGTAATGCAGCAGAAAGGGACGCCGAATACGAGACTCGGGTCCAAAAAGCCGCTCAGCAGTCGCAGCAAGGCCATTGGATCAGCCTCCAAAGCGCCCTACCACGAATACTTACATGGGGGAGATTTGGCAAATGGTCCCGCTGCGGCAGAGCCTTGTCGTTAGATCTGCGTACGATGTGTTACCGTCTGTGGTCAACATGGTGAAATGGCATAAGACTACCGACCCGACATGCCCACTGTGCAGAGCTAGACAGACGCTCGAGCACGTATTGTTCGAATGCAGAAAATCCCTAGGCCAGGGAAGATATACGCCACAATAAAGTCCTAAAAGAGTTAGCGGACATTGTGGACCAAACCAGGATGACGGCCAACGCAAGAGTCAGTTTTACCGCCACCCCTATGCGCTTCCTCAAGGTTAGGCATATTTATAAAGGTAAAATCAACACGGTCGCAATACATGATTGTGCGAGAGACTGGATACTGGTTATCGACCTGCCTGGTTTCGAAAGGTACCCAGAGTCAATACGGAAGACCGGCTTGAGACCTGACATAATTCTGCACTCTGCAGAAAAATGCCAGCTCATCCTGATTAAGCTGTCCGTGCCGTGCGAGTCACGGACGAAAAAAAAATCACTCGTAGAAGCTCAAGAACTACGGGCAGCTCGTGGCGGTCTAAGGAGAGACGAAGCGTATGCAGTAAAAATCTTCGCTGTCGAGATAAGCGCTAAAGGTATTAACTCTTACACACATGGTGAGGGGGTGAACTCTTACACATGTGGTGAGGGAGTGAACTCTTACGCATATGGTGAGGGAGTGAACACTTACACACAGTAATGACGGGGCCATTTCTTAAAAGTGCTGGAACAAGGTAGAAAGTGTTGGCACAAATGCTGGAGCTAATGCTTAACCAAACTAAACTCCATACAATTGAACGTTTGTTCATTTGTCTCTCAAATCTGTACGGATACCTGTCCTTGTCCGACTGGTCTGTGTCAACTGGATATGCTCACCACCACGACTGGCACTATAGAGCTCTCAACAACTATCTTTCCATCTTTATTTGACAAATACAGTTTCAAAAGAATATTTGTCATCCTACAATATGCTATGTTGTAACGTGATAATCTTTCACCTTTTAGTCATGCATGTGCTTTCCCGTGAGTATTTAACTGAAAGGGTAGAGAAGCAGGAAAACAAGCTAAGAGCCATAAAGATAAAATATGTAGAAAGGTAAGAAAACAGGCTGGTGTCAGCGGTAAAGGGCTTCAGTGAATGTTGTCAGGTCAAAGTGTAATCTCCAAAGGTACCTTGGAGTTTTTGTTTGGGCGTAACTGTTGTTCTAGGCAAACATGGAGCAATTTTAGTCAAGTCTCGGAGGTCTAGTTTAGGCGTAACTGTTGTTCTATATTCTATCTGCTGCATCGTGATGTTGTTTGTACTTAGGCTGACATCTAGATCTTTAGGAGGCGTCACCGACATTTTGTTGAGATTCTAGATTGTTGATTTGTAATCCTTGTAACGGTATACCACACAGATAGTCGCACATATATGTGGACACAGAGAGAGAAAGAGACAAAGTGAGAGAATAGTGCAAACATGTGGATGGACACACACACACACACAGAGACAGAGAGAGTGGGAGAGAGAGAGAGAGAGAGAATCGTGCAAACACGTAGATACACACAGTCGTGCAAACACGAGGACAGAGTGAGAAGGGGAGAGAAAGAGAGAGGATAGTGCAAACATTTGGACAGAGAAATAGAGACAGAGAGAGAGAGATCGTGCGAACATGTGGACACACAGAGAGTGGTGAAAACATGTGGACAGAGAAAAAGATAGAGAATCGTGCGAAAATGTTGACACACAGAGAGTGGTGCAAACATGTGGACACACAGAGAGTGATGCAAATTTGCGGACACACAGAGAGTGATGCAAACATGTGGACACACAGAGAGTGGTGCAAACATGTGGACACAAAGAGAATGGTGCAAACATGTCTTGTGCACACACAGAGAGTGGTGCAAACATGCGGACACTCAGAGACTGGTGCAAACATGTGGACACACAGAGAGTTGTGCAAACATGTGGACACACAGAGAATGGGGCAAACATGTCATGTAAACACACAGAGAGTGGTGCAAACATGCGGATACACAGAGAGTGGTGCAAACATGCAGATACACAGAGTGTGTTACAAACATGTGGACACACAGAGAGTGTTGCAAACATGCGGACACATAGTGGTGAAAACATGCTGACACACAGAGAGTGGTGCAAACATGAGGACACACAGAGAGTGGTGAAAACATGCGGACACACATAGTGGTGACAACATGTGGACACACGGAGAGTGGTGCAAACATGCGGACACATAGTGGTGAAAACATGCTGACACACAGAGAGTGGTGCAAACATGTGGACACTCAGAGAGTGGTGCAAACATGTGGACACACAGAGGGTGGTGCAAACATGTGGACACACACAGAGTGGTGCAAACATGCGGACACATAGTGGTGAAAACATGCTTACACACAGAAAGTGGCGAAAATATGTGGACACACAGAGAGTGGTGCAAACATGCGGACACATAGAGAGTGGTGAAATCATGCGGACACACAGGGAGTGGTAAAATCATGCGGACACACAGAGAGTGGTGAAATCATACGGACACACAGAGAGTGGTGAAATCATGCGGGCACATAAAGAGTAATGCAAACATGAGGACACACAGAAAGTGGTGAAAACATGTGGACACACAAAGAGTGGTGCAAACATGCGGACGCACAGAGAGACGGGGCAAACATGTGGACACACAGAGAGTGATGCAAACATGAGGACACATAGACTGGTGCAAACATGTGGACACACAAAGAGTGGTGCAAACATGAGGACACAGAGAGTGGTGCAAACATGTGGTCACGCAGAGAGTGGTGCAAACATGTGGACACACAGAGAGTGGTGCAAATATGGGGACACTCAGAGAGTGGTGCAAACATGTGGACACACAGGGAGTGGTGTAAACATGAGGACACACAGAGAGTGGTGCAAACATGCGGACGCACAGAGAGGGGTGCAAACATGTAGACACACAGAGAGTGATGCAAACATGAGGACACACAGAGAGTGGTGCAAACATGTGGACACACGGGAGTGGTGCAAACATGAGGACACACAGAGAGTGGTGCAAACATGAGGACACACAGAGAGTGGTGCAAACATGTGGACATGCAGAGAGTGGTGCAAACATGAGGACACCGAGAGAGTGGTGCAGATATGCGGACACGCAGAGAGTGGTGCAAACATGAGGACACACAGAGAGTGGTGCAAACATGAGGACACACAGAGAGTGGTGCAAACATGTGGACATGCAGAGAGTGGTGCAAACATGAGGACACCGAGAGAGTGGTGCAAACATGTGGATACAAAGAGAGTGGTGCAAACATTAGGACACACAGAGAGTGGTGCAAACATGTTACTTCCATGTTATTCAGTCGATCTCGCCAAGTGTTGTATGATTCCAGTGCATCTCTGTTGCACAATATAACACCATCTCTGTTGCACAATATAACACCATCTCTGTTGCACAATATAACACCATCTCTGTTGCACAATATAACACCATCTCTGTTGCACAATATAACACCATCTCTGTTGCACAATATAACACCATCTCTGTTGCACAATATAACACCATCTATGTTGCACAATATAACACCATCTCTGTTGCACAATATAACACCATCTCTGTTGCACAATATAACACCATCTCTAAAAAGACGGAAAGGTGCCAACCATATTTTAACTAAACTGGACTTTAATTTGTTTCAGTTCCTTGCACCAGAGACGGCGTCAGTTTTAGACCTGGCGAAACCATTCGCGATAACTGCAATAATTGGTAAGTAGAGCTTTCTAATTTGTCTTAACCACCATTTTTTTTTTTTTTTTGAGCTTTCACTGGCTGTAAACTCCGATCGAAAGTTCTGGCTGTTCGTCCACTTCTGGACTTGTTCTAGTACTTTATGGTTGTGTGCATATCCGTTTTACAAGTTAGTCTTATTTGAAAGCAGATTATTGGTTTCTAGCCTTTCGTCCAGCTGCATTCTGCCCTTGAAGGAAACAACCGGAATTAGTCGCCCTTCACTGCAGACATGTTAGTGGTACTTCACTGCAGACATGTTAGTGGTCCTTCACTGCAGGCATGTTAGTGGTCCTTTACTGCAGACATGTTAGTGGTCCTTCACTGCAGACATGTTAGTGGTCCTTCAATGCAGACATGTTAGTGGTCCTTCACTGCAGACATGTTAGTGGTCCTTCACTGCAGGCATGTTAGTGGTCCTTCACTGCAGACATGTTAGTGGTCCTTCACTGCAGGTGTGTTAGTGGTCCTTCACTGCAGACATGTTAGTGGTCCTTCACTGCAGACATGTTAGTGGTCCTTCACTGCAGACATGTTAGTGGTCCTTCACTGCAGGCATGTTAGTGGTCCTTCACTGCAGACATGTTAGTGGTCCTTCACTGCAGACATGTTAGTGGCCCTTCACTGCAGGCATGTTAGTGGTCCTTCACTGCAGACATGTTAGTGGTCCTTCACTGCAGGCATGTTAGTGGTCCTTCACTGCAGACATGTTAGTGGTCCTTCACTGCAGGTGTGTTAGTGGTCCTTCACTGCAGACATGTTAGTGGTCCTTCACTGCAGACATGTTAGTGGTCCTTCACTGCAGGCATGTTAGTGGTCCTTCACTGCAGACATGTTAGTGGTCCTTCACTGTAGACATGTTAGTGGTCCTTCACTGTAGACATGTTAGTGGTCCTTCACTGTAGACATGTTAGTGGTCCTTCACTGCAGACATGTTAGTGGTCCTTCACTGCAGGCATGTTAGTGGTCCTTCACTGCAGACATGTTAGTGGTCCTTCACTGCAGACATGTTAGTGGTCCTTTACTGCAGACATGTTAGTGGTCCTTCACTGCAGACATGTTAGTGGTCCTTTACTGCAGACATGTTAGTGGTCCTTTACTGCAGACATGTTAGTGGTCCTTCACTGCAGGCATGTTAGTGGTCCTTCACTGTAGGTGTGTTAGTGGTCCTTCACTGTAGGTGTGTTAGTGGTCCTTCACTGTAGGTGTGTTAGTGGTCCTTCACTGTAGGTGTGTTAGTGGTCCTTCACTGTAGGTGTGTTAGTGGTCCTTTACTGTAGGTGTGTTAGTGGTCCTTCACTGCATGTAGTGGTGTGCAGGCATGTTAGTGGTCCTTCACTGCAGGCATGTTAGTGGTCCTTCACTGCAGGTGTGTTAGTGGTCCTTTACTGCAGGTGTGTTAGTGGTCCTTCACTGCAGGTGTGTTAGTGGTCCTTTACTGCAGGCTGTACTGCAGGTGTGTTAGTGGTCCTTCACTGTAGGTGTGTTGGTCCTTCAGTGGTCCTTCACTGTAGGTGTGTTAGTGGTCCTTTACTGTAGGTGTGTTAGTGGTCCTTCACTGCAGGTGTGTTAGTGGTCCTTTACTGCAGGTGTGTTAGTGGTCCTTCACTGTAGGTGTGTTAGTGGTCCTTTACTGCAGGCATGTTAGTGGTCCTTCACTGTAGGTGTGTTAGTGGTCCTTTACTGCAGGTGTGTTAGTGGTCCTTCACTGTAGGTGTGTTAGTGGTCCTTTACTGCAGGCATGTTAGTGGTCCTTCACTGTAGGTGTGTTAGTGGTCCTTTACTGCAGGCATGTTAGTGGTCCTTCACTGTAGGTGTGTTAGTGGTCCTTCACTGTAGGTGTGTTAGTGGTCCTTCACTGCAGGCATGTTAGTGGTCCTTCACTGCAGGCATGTTAGTGGTCCTTCACTGCAGGCATGTTAGTGGTCCTTCACTGTAGGTGTTAGGTCCTTCACTGTGTTAGTGGTCCTTTCACTGCAGGCATGTTAGTGGTCCTTCACTGCAGGCATGTAGGTGTGTCCTTCACTGCAGGCACCTGCAGGCATGTTAGTGGTCCTTCACTGCAGGCATGTTAGTGGTCCTTCACTGCAGGCATGTTAGTGGTCCTTCACTGCAGGCATGTTAGTGGTCCTTCACTGTGTTAGTGGTCCTTCACTGCAGGCATGTTAGTGGTCCTTCACTGCAGGTGTGTTAGTGGTCCTTCACTGCAGGCATGTTAGTGGTCCTTCACTGCAGGCATGTTAGTGGTCCTTCACTGCAGGCATGTTAGTGGTCCTTCACTGCAGGCATGTTAGTGGTCCTTCACTGCAGGCATGTTAGTGGTCCTTCACTGCAGGCATGTTAGTGGTCCTTCACTGCAGGCATGTTAGTGGTCCTTCACTGCAGGCATGTTAGTGGTCCTTCACTGCAGGCATGTTAGTGGTCCTTCACTGCAGGCATGTTAGTGGTCCTTCACTGCAGGCATGTTAGTGGTCCTTCACTGTAGGTGTGTTAGTGGTCCTTCACTGCAGGCATGTTAGTGGTCCTTCACTGTAGGTGTGTTAGTGGTCCTTTACTGCAGACATGTTAGTGGTCCTTCAGCAGGCATGTTAGTGGTCCTTCACTGCAGGCATGTTAGTGGTCCTTCACTGCACTGCAGCATGTTAGTGGTCCTTCACTGCAGGCATGTTAGTGGTCCTTCACTGCAGGCATGTTAGTGGTCCTTCACTGCAGGTGTTAGTGGTCCTTCACTGTGCAGGCCTTCACTGTGTTAGTGGTCCTTCACTGCAGGCATGTTAGTGGTCCTTCACTGCAGGCATGTTAGTGGTCCTTCACTGCAGGCATGTAGTGGTCCTTCACTGCAGGCATGTTAGTGGTCCTTCACTGTAGTGGTCCTGGTCCTTCACTGCAGACATGTTAGTGGTCCTTCACTGCAGGCATGTTAGTGGTCCTTCACTGTAGGTGTGTTAGTGGTCCTTCACTGCAGGCATGTTAGTGGTCCTTCACTGCAGACATGTTAGTGGTCCTTCACTGCAGGCATGTTAGTGGTCCTTCACTGCAGACATGTTAGTGGTCCTTTACTGCAGGCATGTTAGTGGTCCTTCACTGCAGGCATGTTAGTGGTCCTTCACTGCAGGCATGTTAGTGGTCCTTCACTGCCTTCAGGCAGGCATGTTAGTGGTCCTTCACTGCAGGTGTGTTAGTGGTCCTTCACTGCAGGCATGTTAGTGGTCCTTCACTGCAGGCATGTTAGTGGTCCTTCACTGCAGGCATGTTAGTGGTCCTTCACTGCAGGCATGTTAGTGGTCCTTCACTGCAGGTGTGTTAGTGGTCCTTTACTGCAGGCATGTTAGTGGTCCTTCACTGCAGGCATGTTAGTGGTCCTTCACTGCAGGTGTGTTAGTGGTCTTTTACTGCAGGCATGTTAGTGGTCCTTCACTGCAGGTGTGTTAGTGGTCTTTTACTGCAGGCATGTTAGTGGTCCTTCACTGCAGGTGTGTTAGTGGTCTTTTACTGCAGGTGTGTTAGTGGTCCTTCACTGCAGGCATGTTAGTGGTCCTTCACTGTTGTTAGTGGTCCTTCACTGTAGGTGTGTTAGTGGTCCTTCACTGCAGGCATGTTAGTGGTCCTTCACTGCAGGTGTGTTAGTGGTCCTTCACTGCAGGCATGTTAGTGGTCCTTCACTGCAGGCATGTTAGTGGTCCTTCACTGCAGGTGTGTTAGTGGTCCTTCACTGCAGGCATGTTAGTGGTCCTTCACTGCAGGCATGTTAGTGGTCCTTCACTGCAGGCATGTGGTTAGTGGTCCTTCACTGCAGGCATGTTGGTCCTTCACTGCAGGCATGTTAGTCCTTCACTGCAGGCATGTTAGTGGTCCTTCAGTGGTCCTTCACTGCAGGCATGTTAGTGGTCCTTCACTGCAGGTGGTGTTAGTGGTCCTTCACTGCAGGCATGTTAGTGGTCCTTCACTGCAGGCATGTTAGTGGTCCTTCACTGCAGTGTTAGTGGTCCTTCACTGCAGGCATGTTAGTGGTCCTTCACTGCAGGCATGTTAGTGGTCCTTCACTGTGTAGTGGTCCTTCACTGCAGGCATGTTAGTGGTCCTTCACTGGTGTTAGTGGTCCTTCACTGCAGGCATGTTAGTGGTCCTTCACTGCAGGCATGTTAGTGGTCCTTCACTGCAGGCATGTTAGTGGTCCTTCACTGCAGGCACTGCAGGCATGTTAGTGGTCCTTCACTGCAGGCATGTTAGTGGTCCTTCACTGCAGGCATGTTAGTGGTCCTTCACTGCAGGTGTGTTAGTGGTCCTTCACTGCAGACATGTTAGTGGTCCTTCACTGCAGGCATGTTAGTGGTCCTTCACTGCAGGCATGTTAGTGGTCCTTCACTGCAGGCATGTTAGTGGTCCTTCACTGCAGGCATGTTAGTGGTCCTTCACTGCAGGCATGTTAGTGGTCCTTCACTGCAGGCATGTTAGTGGTCCTTCACTGCAGGCATGTTAGTGGTCCTTCACTGCAGGCATGTTAGTGGTCCTTCACTGCAGGTGTGTTAGTGGTCCTTCACTGCAGGCATGTTAGTGGTCCTTCACTGCAGGTGTGTTAGTGGTCCTTCACTGCAGGCATGTTAGTGGTCCTTCACTGCAGGCATGTTAGTGGTCCTTCACTGCAGTGTTAGTGGTCCTTCACTGCAGGCATGTTAGTGGTCCTTCACTGCAGGCATGTTAGTGTAGTGGTCCTTCACTGCAGGCATGTTAGTGGTCCTTCACTGCAGGCATGTTAGTGGTCCTTCACTGCAGGCATGTTAGTGGTCCTTCACTGCAGGCATGTTAGTGGTCCTTCACTGCAGGCATGTTAGTGGTCCTTCACTGCAGGCATGTTAGTGGTCCTTCACTGCAGGTGTGTTAGTGGTCCTTCACTGCAGGCATGTTAGTGGTCCTTCACTGCAGGCATGTTAGTGGTCCTTCACTGCAGGCATGTTAGTGGTCCTTCACTGCAGGCATGTTAGTGGTCCTTCACTGCAGACATGTTAGTGGTCCTTCACTGCAGGCATGTTAGTGGTCCTTCACTGCAGGCATGTTAGTGGTCCTTCACTGCAGACATGTTAGTGGTCCTTCACTGCAGACATGTTAGTGGTCCTTCACTGCAGGCATGTTAGTGGTCCTTCACTGCAGGCATGTTAGTGGTCCTTCACTGCAGGCATGTTAGTGGTCCTTCACTGCAGGCATGTTGGTCCTTACTGCAGTGTTAGTCCTTCACTGCAGGCATGTTAGTGGTCCTTCACTGCAGGCATGTTAGTGGTCCTTCACTGCAGGCATGTTAGTGGTCCTTCACTGCAGGCATGTTAGTGGTCCTTCACTGCACTGCAGGCATGTTAGTGGTCCTTCACTGCAGGCATGTTAGTGGTCCTTCACTGCAGGCATGTTAGTGGTCCTTCACTGCAGGCATGTTAGTGGTCCTTCATGTTTAGTGGTCCTTCACTGCAGTGGTCCTTCACTGCATGTTAGTGGTCCTTCACTGCAGGCATGTTACTGTGTTAGTGGTCCTTCACTGCAGGCATGTTAGTGGTCCTTCACTGCAGGCATGTTAGTGGTCCTTCACTGCAGGTGTGTTAGTGGTCCTTCACTGCAGGCATGTTAGTGGTCCTTCACTGCAGTGGTCCTTCACTGTGTTAGTGGTCCTTCACTGCAGACATGTTAGTGGTCCTTCACTGCAGGCATGTTAGTGGTCCTTCACTGCAGGCATGTTAGTGGTCCTTCACTGCAGCATGTTAGTGGTCCTTCACTGCAGGCATGTTAGTGGTCCTTCACTGCAGGCATGTTAGTGGTCCTTCACTGCAGGCATGTTAGTGGTCCTTCACTGCAGACATGTTAGTGGTCCTTCACTGCAGGCATGTTAGTGGTCCTTCACTGCACTGCAGGCATGTAGTGGTCCTTCACTGCAGACATGTTAGTGGTCCTTCACTGCAGGCATGTTAGTGGTCCTTCACTGCAGGCATGTTAGTGGTCCTTCACTGCAGGCATGTTAGTGGTCCTTCACTGCAGGCATGTTAGTGGTCCTTCACTGCAGACATGTTAGTGGTCCTTCAGTGTTAGTGGTCCTTCACTGCAGGCATGTTAGTGGTCCTTCACTGCAGGCATGTTAGTGGTCCTTCACTGCAGACATGTTAGTGGTCCTTCACTGCACTGCAGTGTGTTAGTGGTCCTTCTGCAGGTGTGTTAGTGGTCCTTCACTGCAGGCGTGTGTTAGTGGCCCTTCACTGCAGACATGTTAGGGTCCTATTTTCTGGCCAATCTCAAGCCGCTGAAGCCACAAGGAGAAGACAGGCTTTATTAACCAGGAGACTATTGACAGACAGACACCCGTGAGACTTAGATAACAGACTACTCTCTATACGAGTGCGAACACAGGACACAGAGCCAGTAATGGGCACAATCAGTGAAGACGCGAAAGGTCGTTTAAGGAAACCATTGTTAGAATATTGTGGACAGACGAAAACAAAAGATAACTAACACTGGTCTACACATGTTTTGCTGCCTTTAATGTTAAAAAAAAAAAATATTTTGGAATATTTTTTGTGCTGATTCCAAGAATATAATCATTTTTTACCCTCTATGCTCCAGCAAATAGTCAAGTGCTATCAGTGGCATTCTGAATTAAATCTGAATTCGTATTATGTGTGATTACTGTGCATTTCTGACCTTTATGTAAAATACAACAAATGTAATCAAATTTGATCACTGGCATTTGTTAATCAAAAGTCAAAAACAACACAATCTTGACCATGTCTTCCTGGAATGTGCTAAGGCCGGACAGTGACGCTCATGGGTCCAGCAGTCATCTGCCATCACGCGGACATCGCAAAGTCCCTGCAGGAGGATGGTAACCAAGTTAAACACAAGCAAACAGACTTCAATGCCCCATGTTCAACAACAGCACTGGAATACTAAGCCCCTAAGAAAGTCAGTTTTTTATTGACACATTGCTTTTCTATCGTGTCCGACAGCACCTGTGAACTGTACGGGTTGCCCAACCGGCGCTACGAGTGGAGATGTACACAGAACGTCTGCCTTCTTCGGCCAGAGCTGATCCAAGCGGTCAATGGAGATCTCAACTATTTGTATGTCTATGTGTCTGTGTTCATCTAAGCAGTCAATGGAGATCTCAACTATTTGTATGTCTCTGTGTCTGTGCTCACCTAATCGGTCAATGGAGATCTCAACTATTTGTATGTCTATGTGTCTGTGTTCGTGTCTCTATTTTTCATATTCACAATACTGAGGATTAATGAATCAGCTGTGTGCACGTATGGATTGGCACCTGAGGCAACAGATCATGTCATTCAAGACTGTCCCACAGACAATATATCATGTCATTCAAGACTGTCCCACAGACAATATATCATGACATTCAAGACTGTCCCACAGACAATATATCATGACATTCAAGACTGTCCCACAGACAATATATCATGACATTCAAGACTGTCCCACAGACAATATATCATGACATTCAAGACTGTCCCACAGACAATATATCATGACATTCAAGACTGTCCCACAGACAATATATCATGACATTCAAGACTGTCCCACAGACAATATATCATGACATTCAAGACTGTCCCACAGACAATATATCATGTCATTCAAGACTGTCCCACAGACAATATATCATGACATTCAAGACTGTCCCACAGACAATATATCATGACATTCAAGACTGTCCCACAGACAATATATCATGACATTCAAGACTGTCCCACAGACAATATATCATGACATTCAAGACTGTCCCACAGACAATATATCATGACATTCAAGACTGTCCCACAGACAATATATCATGACATTCAAGACTGTCCCACAGACAATATATCATGACATTCAAGACTGTCCCACAGACAATATATCATGACATTCAAGACTGTCCCACAGACAATATATCATGACATTCAAGACTGTCCCACAGACAATATATCATGACATTCAAGACTGTCCCACAGACAATATATCATGACATTCAAGACTGTCCCACAGACAATATATCATGACATTCAAGACTGTCCCACAGACAATATATCATGACATTCAAGACTGTCCCACAGATAATATATCATGACATTCAAGACTGTCCCACAGACAATATATCATGACATTCAAGACTGTCCCACAGACAATATATCATGACATTCAAGACTGTCCCACAGACAATATATCATGACATTCAAGACTGTCCCACAGACAATATATCATGACATTCAAGACTGTCCCACAGACAATATATCATGACATTTAAGACTGTCCCACAGACAATATATCATGACATTCAAGACTGTCCCACAGACAATATATCATGACATTCAAGACTGTCTCACAGACAATATATCATGTCATTCAAGACTGTCTCACAGACAATATATCATGACAAACTGTTGGCCAAGAGAAACACCAGCAACAGCCAAATTTGCTGGTCGCTGAGTGAATTACAACAGACAGTGACGTTTATACTAGAGGCAACATTGCAGATAATTATTTTCAAGCCAACTTTGGCAGTATGTTTATGTTTTAAACTTACTTCTCGGTTTAATGATGTCTCCTTGAATGTGTATGTTTTAACTTACTTCTTGGTTCAATGATGTCTACGTGAATGTGTATGTTTTAACTTACTTCTCGGTTTAATGATGTCTCCTTGAATGTCTATGTTTTAACTTCCTTCTTGGTTCAATGATGTCTACTTGAATGTGTATGTTTTAACTTACTTCTCGGTTTAATGATGTCTCCTTGAATGTCTATGTTTTAACTTCCTTCTTGGTTCAATGATGTCTACGTGAATGTCTATGTTTTAACTTACTTCTTGGTTCAATGATGTCTACGTGAATGTCTATGTTTTAACTTACTTCTTGGTTCAATGATGTCTACTTGAATGTCTATGTTTTAACTTACATCAAGGTTCAGTGATGTATATTTTAACTTGCTTCTTGGTTCAGTGATGTCTCTGTCAATGTCTATGCTTTCAATTACTTCTTGGTTCAATGATGTATGTTTTAACTTACTTCTTGGTTCAATGATGTCTCTGTGAATGTCTATGTTTTAACTTACTTCTTGGTTCAGTGATGTCTCTGTGAATGTCTATGTTTTAACTTACTTCTTGGTTCAGTGATGTCTCTGTGAATGTCTATGTTTTAACTTACTTCTTGGTTCAGTGATGTATGTTTTAACTTAATTTTTGGTTCAGTGATGTATGTTTTAACTTAATTCTTGGTTCAGTGATGTATGTTTTAACTTAATTCTTGGTTCAGTGATGTATGTTTTAACTTAATTCTTGGTTCAGTGATGTATGTTTTAACTTACTTCTTGGTTCAGTGATGTATGTTTTAACTTAATTCTTGGTTCAGTGATGTATGTTTTAACTTAATTCTTGGTTCAGTGATGTCTCTGTGAATGTCTATGTTTTAACTTACTTCTTGGTTCAATGATGTCTCTGTGAGTGTCTATGTTTTAACTTACTTCTTGGTTCAGTGATGTCTCTGTGAATGTCTATGTTTTAACTTACTTCTTGGTTCAGTGATGTCTCTGTGAATGTCTATGTTTTAACTTACTTCTTGGTTCAGTGATGTATGTTTTAACTTACTTCTTGGTTCAGTGATGTATGTTTTAACTTACTTCTTGGTTCAGTGATGTATGTTTTAACTTACTTCTTGGTTCAGTGATGTATGTTTTAACTTACTTCTTGGTTCAGTGATGTATGTTTTAACTTACTTCTTGGTTCAGTGATGTCTCTGTGAATGTCTATGTTTTAACTTACTTCTTGGTTCAGTGATGTATGTTTTAACTTACTTCTTGGTTCAGTGATGTATGTTTTAACTTACTTCTTGGTTCAGTGATGTATGTTTTAACTTACTTCTTGGTTCAGTGATGTCTCTGTGAATGTCTATGTTTTAACTTACTTCTTGGTTCAGTGATGTATGTTTTAACTTACTTCTTGGTTCAGTGATGTATGTTTTAACTTACTTCTTGGTTCAGTGATGTCTACGTGAATGTCTATGTTTTAACTTACATCAAGGTTCAGTGATGTATGTTTTAACTTACTTCTTGGTTCAGTGATGTCTACGTGAATGTCTATGTTTAAACTTACATCAAGGTTCAGTGATGTATGTTTTAACTTACTTCTTGGTTCAGTGATGTCTACGTGAATGTCTATGTTTTAACTTACATCAAGGTTCAGTGATGTATGTTTTAACTTACTTCTTGGTTCAGTGATGTCTACGTGAATGTGTATGTAATTGTGTTCATACTTAGAATAAACACCGGCCACTGACAACAAAACCAGGTCCACAAGGCTATGGTGACTGTGGTCCGGCAAAAAACAAGTGAGAAAAGAGAGAGAGAGAGAGAGAGAGAGAGAGAGAGAGAGAGAGAGAGAGAGAGAGAGAGAGAGAGAGAGAGAGAAAGAGAGAGAGAGAGAGAGAGAGAGAGAAAGAGAAAGAGAAAGAGAGAGAGAGAGAGAGAGAGAGAGAGAGAGAGAGAGAGAGAGAGAGAGAGAGAGAGAGAGAGAGAGAGAGAGAGAGGTTGTTAACAATGTGCAGAAATTATAAAGGGTTCCAAGAAATATCAAAGTAGGTTCGACAAAACTAAAGTCAACAAATTTGTGGATATACTAATACTACATAGAATAGATAAAATGTTGTCTAAATGTTTTCTAGTGCAGTCAAATACAAACGGCATCCAGGACATAACCTGAAATAAGGGAAACAACTCATATAGAAAAGAATTTTTTTTTCTTTTTTAAATATCCAACTCCAAATTAAAAACATCTAGAAATACCTATACCATCTAGATGTCAAAAACAGCATCTAGATCTGGATGTAAACATCCAAAGTGGCAACACTGGTGATGCTAAGAATATCCTTGACATCCTGGTCTTCCAGAAACCAAACTCTCTGTTACAGCTCCCTCCCAACCAATAGATATTTTCCTGTAGCCGAAAACTTTCCATTTGTTCAACACGAGACTGTCCACGAGCCAGCTCATCCCCAACCCCCACCCTTACACCCACACACACACCCTTACACCCACACACTTACACACACACACACACCCTTACACCCACACACTTACACACACACACACACCCTTACACCCACACACTTACACACACACACACACACACACACACACACACACACGAGTGCCAGAAGCTTGTGTCAGATCTTTTCTATGGAAAGCAGTGGGTTTAGCCATTTCTGTATTTATTAATGACCCATTAAAAAAAGATGCAGCATGCGTCTGCCCTGGCAGTAAGATATCAGTTAATCACAGCAATGTTTTAAAGCTTTGCCGCCCCTAAAATGTTGCCGCCCTACACATAGGTTTTAATTTCTGGTCAGATCCACCTAGGATTGTTGGTCCCCTCACAAGTGACTTGAACTGTTGGCTATCAGGCCGCAAAGCCAGTGTACACTGCTCAACGTGGTCTCATTAATTTGACTAGTCATTGCGTCGTTTGGTTGGCTATTTAACCCCCAGAGTTAGTTGCGTACCCTTTTAGGAGGTTGCAGAACCAACCCCAGCATTTTTAGGCTGCTGTGTGTGTGTTTTTTTTTTTTTTTTTGTAGGCAAATTTACGTCTTGTAGTTTGCTATTGCCCTCTGGACGGTCGGCTTCTCAATACCAGTGGTGAGACCAACTCAAGGCTCAGGGCCAGCTGCTGGGATCGAACCCAGCACCCCGGCATTACGAAGCACGTTCGCAACGCCTAAGCCACAGACGCCGACAATCCCCCCTCCCCCCGAGAGTCAAGCCAATTGTGCTGATCAGTCAAGAAGTCTCATTTCTGTCCATCTCTGCACAGCTGGACGGCTGGCAACTACTCAAGTCTGTGGGGGCTCACTCTAGATGAAGGCATCCGTTATCGCCTGGGCACATTCCAGCTCTCCGACAACGTGGTGGAGATGACCCCGATCCGTGTGGAGGACGATGTGCTGCCTGAAGCTTTCGATGCTCGCGACAAATGGCCCAATATGCTGCATCCAATCAGTGACCAGGGCAACTGTGCATCGTCATGGGCGCACTCAACTGCAGGTCAGAAATGGTGAACTTAGGTTTTCTCTTAACGCAT